TACAATTGTTACATTTTCTTTCTGATACCCAGTAAAAATCAGTTATATTTTGAAAGGTTACCAGGTCAGAATTTTCCTGCCGTGAGGCACTGAGAACAAAGCTAATAATAGTCCTTTAGGAAATTTCTGACTTACAAAACAAGCAGCACAAGTGGCCAAGGAAAACAGACAAGGCGGCTTTTCTAAAATCCAGGGGTACTTTTTTCTCCATGTTAAAAGCCGTCAGCATGCAGGCTACACTCAGGAAAAATTCTCTTAATTAAACAGCCTACCCTCACTTGTTTCTTCCGCTTCGGGAATTCACCAGAGTTGGCTTCATTTTGAAGAAATTCCCACTAGTTAGTTTTTAGATCCCAAAGCAGAAAGCGGAAGCTTCAAGATAAGGTGCTGCCAAATAGGAAGCCAAAAGCACATTAAAATAGCAAATCTCAGAATCATCCTGGAAGCTCAAGGGGAGAATCAGTGAAATTACAAAGTCCTCTTGAATCACACAGGAGGAAAGAGAGTAAGGTAATATATGCGTGTTAACTCTTTAGCAGCTATCCTCTTTCCTTGGCTAAAAACCACCCACTTTCCATGTGTGAGCATCCAAAACACTGACTGACCCTAAATAATCATTGCATTTGCCCAGCAAACGATACAAATGGGGCCTTTAGCTTTCCAGTTCTAGACAGAGGTGTTATGATTAACTGTGATAAAATTTTGATCAAAATTCTGGAACTTACAGCTGAGCACCAACCATGAGGTCTTCCTGATACTTTCTCCAAATTAGGTGGCCCTACGCTAGTATGTCTCAAAGTATTGTAGGGTTTGGTCATCCATATTAGAATCACCTGAGATTTAAAGACCAAATTTAAAGCCCGAATTCTGGGGCTCTACTCAGACCTATTGAGTCAGAGTCTCTGAGTATTAGGCACAGAGCAAAAGCAGATGAAGTCTTTGACGCCCTATTAAAGGGTGTGGAGGAGAGGACAAGAGATTTCCAGGAAAGGGATAATAAAGGCAGGAAGTGTGGCACCTCAGAGATGAAGTAGCCCTGGGTGGAACCTGTTCTTGCCCCTGTCTTTTTTGCTTTTTTGGTCTAATCCATGTAGGGGATGCCTTCCCCAAGGTGGAAGTTGACAAGAGGGTCTGTATGAGGCCAGGCTTGACAGTTAGGCAGTCCAGAGACAGCTGGCTACATCTTCAGAGCTTGGGAGACTCGGTGGAGCCTTGAAGCACCTCTAATCTGCCCATTTCTTGGGGAAGTTTTAGATTATTTGAAGAAGGGAGATAATATTCAATACATCTGACTATTCAAATCTCATCCAATTTCCTCTTTAATTCACCCCGGCCCCCAACAAGTGAGTGCCCCTCATCACATCCTGACAGGAAAAAAGCTATAGTCTGGCTAGGATCCCACTCCAGCCCCTTGATGGCCTGTAGCCTTCCATGAGGAGCAAGCTAGGTCTGTCTATGGCCTCTTCAGGAGCCCAGAAGAACCTGAAGAAATGCTAGCAGCTCCAGGTACCCACGTATCTGATTTGCTGTCCCAACCTCTAAGAGTGACTTAGAGTCACCTCAGGAGCAGAGACAGAAAATATTCTGGAAGAACACAGGATAATTGTAATGGTGAGTGGATTTGGAATAACATGCCTCTGGTTGAAACGTATATGAGGAGGACCCCCCAAAACGAGGAATTACGTATAAAAAGTTGTGTATTCTTGGGTGTTTAAACCCCAGTCATCTTCAAAGGACTCTCCATTTGATGCAGTTGGTTTTTCCACTGCACAAAACAATTTTTGAACTTGTTAATTTTGGTGCCTTTTAGTGCTTCTGCTGTTTTTGTTTCACCTCTTCCACATCAGCAAAAAAAAAAAAAAAAAAAAAAAAAGCTTCCCTTTCAAGGGCAAACAACAAAAAAAGTTGTTTGAGGCAAGGTCGGGTGAAGAGGGAAGGTGGGGCATGACTGTTATGCTATTTTTGGGTCAAAAACTACTGAACATTCTGTGTGATGTGGGCAGGTGTGCTCATAAATCACCCATCATGAAGTGGGCAAATGCTCTAAAAGAATCTCTAAAAAAAAAAATTCACTGAAGCCATACTCATGACAATTCTAGCAGGTACACTGATGCTGAAGGGTTTCTACAACACTTACCTTGTGATTGGAAGCCTGTGCTACAAAAGGCCCACCCTCCACAAAACAATTCCAGTTTTTTTGGGTCCCCCTTATATATATATGTTTATATATATATATATATATATATATGTATGTATAGCATATTACATAAATTATGTCTACATATAAATTATCTTTACTTACCAATTTATTTCACTCCATATTTCTCTTATGCTTCCTTCTGATATTGGGTTTTTTCCCTGAAACTTTCTCGATATAAATTTAGAATAATCATTTTGCCCTTTGGCCTAGGAGAAAATTTTGTTTTGCATCAGGAGCTTCTGGAAGAGTGACTTAGAGTCAACAACTTTACCTAGCATGCTCAGCTTACCTTGCTTGTTTCATCCTTCACCTACTTTCTTCCTACACGCCTGGTGCCTGGGGTCTGTTCTCACAGCATCCTCTCTCTATCGCTCGTGGCCTCCAGGGGCCCTCCCCATCCTCATGTCTCAGAATCCAGGACATAGCCCTCTCAGTGGAGAGCTGCAATGACCAAGGAGGTCTCAGGAAGGAGAGGGCCAGGGGAGAACTGGACACTTGGGCAGAACAGGGAACCTCAGCGCCAGGGCATACAACAAAGTATCATGGTTTGCGATAGCAGTCAAGGGAGTGGGCTCTGGAGATAAACTGCCTGGTTTTGACCCTTAGCTCTGTGCTTTTAGATGAGATAGGTAAAATCCCCAGCTCCTTGATTTCGTCATCTGTGATATGGGGATAATAGAGTACCTATTTCATAGGCTGTTGTGAGGATTAAATAATCACATAGATGAATGTGCAAAATGTTCAGAACAGAGCTTAGCATGTGGTAAATACTCAATAAGTGTTAGAGATTATGACTGGGGGCCAGGACACATATTTGCAAGTAAAATAGGGATGACATCACCACTGGGGCAATGTATTTTTAGATATCTCTGAACTAAAAAAAGAAAAGAGACAAACTACATGCTTAGTTATAGAAAATTCGCCATAATAAATGTAATTATCTAAAGCTGATTATGGCTAGCTTCTATTTGCAAAATAATTAGGCACTTTATTAATATGATGAACAAATTTTGTTTTAACATTTGGTTCCACTGTACATCTGACCATGCCTTATTTAAATGGCAGATTATGTACTCACAATTTAAGAAAAATAAAATATACACAGATTATGTATTAATCCAGTCTCACATCCTTCCCTAAAATCTACATAAATGTGTGCAAGTGATTACTCTTCTTCATTTATTGTGCAGCAACAACCACATTTAGCTAAATAAAGTGGGGCAAGGACTTGGAATAACATCAGTATCTGAACGCTGTAAGAGAGTGGGAAGTTTAAAAGTTGACTTTTTGATAGGGACGGACTTAAATTAGTTAATTAGATTATTGTTTTTTAGAAATCAGTTGTATTCACTAACATTTTTCTTCTCTTTTCTTTTTTGGCTTAGGTATTAATATCTTTGTGAACACAGAAAGAGCCAGTGCTCAAAAGAGAAAAATAAGGCCTTTATCACTACTTCTTCATTTCTGCTGAGAGTACATTTTTAGACCTCTTATTTTAAAAAACTGTAATCATAGAATATTAACTTGACTTGAGCTCTAAAAACAGACAGAATATGGAAATCAAAATAAACCCCATTTACTATCTCTATCACTTATTTTAATTTATTTTATTTTTTTAGAGACAGGCTCTAGCTCTGTCGCCCAGGCTGTAGTGCAGTGACACAATCATAACTCTGCAGTCTTAAACTCCTGGGCTTAAGCGATCCTCTTGCCTTGGCTTCCTAATATCTGTATCATTTAAATTGGATAAGATGCAGAGATGAGGAACATGTATACAGTCACCCAAAAGAAATGTCAATATGAAGAGAAGAAATATAGAATATTGTATTTACCCCCTTCAGTTGTATTTGGACACAGGTTAAACCATATTTTTTTTACAGGGCTATTGAAAAATGTCAAAAATAATAATGAAGGATATAAAAATTACCCCAAATACTGCCATGTAGAGATAGACACTGTTAACATTTTGGTAGAGCTTTTTTGTTTTTACATGTAAACAAAATTTGGGTCAAGGAAACTTGAGTATATATAGTTTTTCTCCTTATTTTTCTTACTGAACCAAATACAAACATTTTACAGATATAAACATCTAAGTCTAATACCTCCATTTCTTATTTGTAAAAACAAGGCATTATTTCAAGCATTTGAGTGGAAGATTTTTTTTTTTGTAATTAGGCATAACTGGTGCACAGAATCTGAGGACTGACATCTACCTTGTGATTCATTCCCCCGTGAGACAGTGCACATTAAATGTGTTGAGTTGGCAGGTGAAAGAGAAGAAAGAGTGTGTAGTGATCTGTGATTGACAGCTGTGGATGAAAATTGAAAGTAGTAGACCAGGGATGACAGAACAATTCTTAGTTTGCTTAGGTTTATGAAATTCTGATTCCTTAATATAAGTACACGAGAAACACTACTAATAAGAAAGTTTTAAGACTTGTAAAAGACATATACTTCATGTTAGTTGGATTTAAAATTATGCATTTGTGTCATATTAATAAAATTGTATGTAAAATATAAAGGCATGGACAAAGGAGAATTAGATTTGAGGCGCAGAGTATCTGACATCATTGTAGTGTTCAATTTTGTGGATATTCCCGGGAAACTTTTTGGATATTACTGGGGATTTCCTCTTTGCTGGATTTGGACAACATCCTCCTCTTATTCACAGGAAGCAAACTCTCCTATAAAAGGGCTTCAGCAGAGGTAATGTTCAGCTGTTCTTGGCTGACTTCACACCAGAACTACTATACAGAAGTGGTAGCTGACACTTCTGAGGAGTCCAGCTTCCCAGAACAACTGCTTCCCAAGACAGTAAGTGCAGAATTCTTTATAAGAGCAGCCTTGGGCTGTGAAACATAGAGTTATTAATGCTGGATAGATATTTAAAAAGCCTTCTGATAAAAATCAGATCTGTATAAGTCTCACTGTAGCTGAAACCTGTCTTTCCTCTTTGTCTTAAATGATGAAAATCTTAAATTTTGTATTTATTCATTGATTAAACTTATTTGAAATAAACAAGGATTGTGGCACTGGAGTCCTTCACCTAAAATCTTGAGATGCTGCTTTAAACATCATGGTAGAATGATGTAACTGGCTAACTAGGATTTCCTTCTGTAATTAACTTTGTACTTTTTCTTTTCTTCCCAGAAAAGTATTTCAAGTCTGCTCCTTTGGTGAAAATAACTTTTGGAATTATGACTGTGCCACCGTTTCTCTCTGCCCTCACTTTGGGTAAGTCATGGTCACTCATTAGACCAGCATTTCTCATGTCCACTCTATTGACATTTCAGACAGGAATGTTCCTTGTGTGGGGCTACCCTGTGTACTGTAGGATGCTCAACCACATCCTTGATTTCCACCTGCAGTGTGTTCTTTCCTGAACTGGGGGTAATTTACGTCTTAGTGCCTCTATGTCCTTATGTGTAAAGTGTTGGTCATAAACGACCTATTTCCCAGACACCCTGTGAGGATTTACTATCATGGTTCATGTAAAGTGCCTCATCCAGTGCTTGGTGGTGCATATTAAGTGCTCAATAAAGTTTAGCTATTCTTATTATTATTCTGCTATAAAGTGGGAATACTAAGGTTGTGATAGGTTAGTGCAGGTGAGGCAACTAGTAGATGACCAGTCCCAAAAGAGATAAACAACAAATGGTAGTTTCTTCACACATACCTTTTCTTTTTTTTTTTTTTGAGTTGGAGTCTCACTCTGTCGCCCAGACTGGAGTGCAGTGGCCGCTCCCAGCCACCGCAGTCTCGACCTGCTGGGCTCCGGCCATCCTTCTGCCTCAGCCTTCCAAGTAGCTGGAACTACAGGCGCGTGCTACCACACCCGGCTAATCTTTTGATTTATTGTAGAGATGAGGTCTCACTGCCCAGGCGGGTCTCAAACCCGCAGGCTCAGGCAATCCACTCACCTCAGCCTCCCAAAGGCGTGAGATTACAGGCTGAGCCACCGAGCCCGGCTACATACCTTTTCTTGCTTTTGAAAAGGTAAAAAGTTTGAGACATCCCAAAGGCCATAGTAGGCCCAGATTAAGACAACCAGAAATCCCCGTTAACAGAGTTCAACTGTAGCAATGCTAAATTCCTCCATTCTTTTTCTATTTTCCCCTCTAGTGCTTCTCATTAAAGAGAGTGGAGCCTGGATTTACAATACCTCCACGGAAACCATGACTTATGATGAGGCCAGTGCTTATTGTCAGGAACGGTATACACATCTGGTCGCCATCCAAAACAAAGAAGAGATTAAGTACCTAAACTCTATATTGAGCTATTCCCCAAGTTATTACTGGATTGGAATCAGAAAAGTCAACAACGTGTGGATCTGGGTAGGAACCCAGAAGCCTCTGACGGAAGAAGCCACAAACTGGGCTCCAGGTGAACCCAATAATAAGCAAAGCAATGAGGACTGCGTGGAGATCTACATTAAGAGAGAAAAAGACATGGGCATGTGGAATGATGAGAGATGCAACAAGAAGAAGCTTGCATTGTGCTATACAGGTAGGGAGCTCGAGGCAGCAGTGGGAGGTAGTTTCAGTGTGTGGGCATCTTGACGTGCTTTTTTAAAAATTTAATTTAATTTAAAAGATGTGGGGCACAATTCAGGGTTACATATACAAATGTTGATTATGCAAGTACCCTTGTTGATGAGGTGTGCCCCTCCCTTCCCTAGCAATTTCCCCCAACTGCCAATTCCACCCCCTCGACCAGCAGTTTCCCACTACTGCCAATCCCTTTCTTATAGTATTAGACATGCTTACAGTATGCAAAAGTCACCTCCAGTGTGGTTCTAAAATACATGATTTAAAAATATCCTGTTTAACTGCTAAAGAATCTCTTTGTTTCTGTGTGAATGTAGACAATAATGCATGTATATACATATACTGTAGACATATGTCTGGTTCTATATTTATGTAGAATGCATACACACACATAATACCTACTTTAGTTACTTGTTTCATGTGGTAGGAGAACTGTCTTCAGAGTTGTAGTAAAGTGAAATTTCTGTGCTTGGTGCCAGTTACAACTATATGCCTGATGTCTGTACATTAAGGTTTAAAATTGACAAGCCCAAAACTCAGATTTGGCATTTTGTAAAGCACTTCAGTTACAAACTTTGGCACTCCGTATCACGGGTGATGTCTCTGCTGACCCTAGATTCAAAGGAACTCATTCTAAGCACAATAACAATCATCCTCATCATGAGTTGAATTTTCCACAGCTGCCTGTACCAACACATCCTGCAGTGGCCATGGTGTATGTGTAGAGACCATCAATAATTACACTTGCAAGTGCCACCCTGGCTTCAGTGGACTCAACTGTGAGCAAAGTAAGTGTTGTTCTCACCTCTTCCTTCACTTGAGATGGTAGCACCATCTCACATCCTAGCTGACTTTGAAGTCAGGTATGCATCTCTCCCTCCTCTCCCCTCCCCTCCCCTCCCCTTCCCTGGAGCATATGGTGGTTTACAGCTGACACTATGAAGTATGAGTGTCTGAGTTCCAGATTCACTAGTTATTCATTATAGCATCTTGCTTTGGGCCAGACTTTTCTCATTGTAAAACGAAGATAATAATAATGACAACTTCATAGGCTTATGGTTGCCTAGTGCCTGGCATACAGGAAGTATTAAATAAACTGTAGTTATAGTTTCCAGTGTTCTTCCCACCTATATAAGGTGAGAGATGAACATGCTGATTTGAGTTTCTTTTCTAGTTGTAACCTGCAAAGCCCAGGAAGCCCCTGAGCATGGAAGCCTGGTTTGCAGCCACCCCCTGGGGAACTTCAGCTACAATTCTTCCTGCTCTGCCCACTGTGAAAGGGGCTACCTGCCAAGCAGCATGGAGACTGTGTGGTGCATGTCCTCTGGGGAATGGAGTGCTCTGGTTCCAGCCTGCAATGGTAAGTCTCTGATTCATCCCTCACTGCCTCAGTGTTTTTCCAACTTTATAACATTTTTTTTAAATGCAACTTATTATCTCAGCCAATATACCTATATAGCCAATTTAGTACCCACTTGGTTTGAGAGAAGTTATATTCTACATTTGAAATGGGTATTTCTGAAGCTCTGATGATCTGTAAGGAAGACCATTAACAGTGAGACTCCAGAAATCTTAATGGCTTTCTCATCTTCTTTCCTTAATTCTCCCATGCAATGGGACTAACCAAAGACTGTGACAAGCAGTCTCAATATTTCTTTTTGTCTCTCAATCTTATCTTTCAGAACCAGAGGGGGGGAAAAATCAGTCCTTCAGCCTGCTGGGCAAGAATAAATGACTGTCCTATGTATGTCAGTATTATTTTATCACAACTAGTCATAAATCTTGATCCAGAATCTATTTTTTTCTTAAATAAATAATAAAATAGATCAGCAATCACTCAGTATAGTCAATGTAGAAATTAATCTGAGAAGATAGAAATATAAATGAAAAAAGAATAAAAGCTTTATTGTGGGAATGCATGTCTCCAAGAATTGACATAGGACGTTGGGACCTACCCCTGAAGGAAGCTTTCTCAGTCTGTTATAATTCCATTTAAGTAGGAAATGAAAACATCATTCTTCTGTAAAATTCATGGTTCTCATTCAAATCCACAGTGGTTGAATGTGATGCATTAACAAATCCTATCAATGGGTTCATGGAATGTTCCCAAAGCCCTGGAAGTTTCCCCTGGAACACAACTTGTGCATTTTACTGTGAAGAGGGATTTGAACTAATGGGAGTTCAGAGCCTTCAGTGTACCTCCTCTGGAAACTGGGACAACGAGAGGCCCGTGTGTAAAGGTAGAGTTGCTCACACGAAGACTTATATAAACATTCCTTTTCTCAGTCCATACTTGAATGGGCAAGCCAGACCTGCTAATATAAATATAAATGGGTATATTTGCTACAGCTGTGACATGCGCTGCCATCCACCATCCTCAGAATGGCTCTGTGAGCTGTAGCCACTCCCCGGCTGGACAGTTTACCTTCAAGTCATCCTGCGACTTTACCTGTGAGAAAGGCTTCATGTTGCAGGGGCCAGCCCAGGTTGAATGCACTGCACAAGGGCAATGGACACAGGAGATTCCAGTCTGTGAAGGTAAGCCAATTTCCTTTCTTTTATACTTTCTTTAAGAGCAGCAATTTTCAAAGCTAGGCAGTGAAAATGCAACCAGCTGCCCCCTTTAACTGTAGAAATCAGGTTTGATGAGCAAGACTCAACTTGCCCCTTTCAGATTCATTTAAAAGAGTCAGTGCTTGGCCAAGGAAAGGATGGTATGTAATAAGAGTGAGTGCTTTGCTGGTTTCTTAACTGTGCTGTGCTGATAGAACTTTAAAGACATTGGTATGGAGTAGGCAGACTTCTTGATCTAAAGGAAATTGCTTTAGAAAAAAATAAAAGCAGAATAATGAGAACATGACTTGAGTCTAAAACCCTTGTCATGTCTTTCTTATGAAATGGTTCATAACTATCAGTGATGGGAATGTTACAAGCATGGCATCAGCTGCAGAGATAGTCTTGATACACATAAGCACTAAAACTTAATTCACTTGCAAGAGCAAGGAGATTGAACACAAGCAGTTTTCACTACCAGGCAGTGACACAGTCTTCTAATCAAAGGTAGCACAGAATGATTTTGGTGGCAGAAAGTTGCAACACCAAACTGTAAAGTAGACAAATTCTTCTCTTCCTCTTTCTCTTTGGTGCCTTCTGTCAGCACCCAGGAGCTTCTGTAAGTGGCTCTCTGACTGTGTAAAGTCTTTCTCTTGACTCTAACTGCATGTGAGAAAAGTGCTCAGGAGCCAAGCTTCCTGTTAAAGGTTGTCCTTTAATTAGTGCCATTAATAATGAGGAAATTGGAATTCAAAGGAAAAACAGCCATCTTCCCAGTTGTCCAGGGAATAATGAAGAATCTTGATTTCTCCATGTGTTACTTTGCCCCAAAATGGATTCATTCATCAGATACCAGGTACTCTCTAGTTCAGCTGTCATATTTTCTGACCATAATTTTGTTGTCTCAGCTTTCCAGTGCAGTGCCCTGTCCAGTCCAGAGCGAGGCTACATGAATTGTCTTCCTAGTGCTTCTGGAAGTTTCCAAAGTGGGTTCATCTGTGAGTTCTCCTGTGAACAGGGATTTGTGTTGAAGGGATCCAAAAGGCTCCAGTGTGGCCCCACAGGAGAGTGGGACAGTGAGAAACCTACATGTGAAGGTAGAGTTTTTGTTTTTGCTTTTATGATAAAAGCTATTCAAGAGCTCAGGTACTTGGTTACCTTGAGAAACCTGTTGCTGCTGGATGCAAACTAACTTCTAAAGTGCTCTCTCATGTCTTCCAGCTGTGAAATGTGATGCTGTCCACCAGCCCCCGAGGGGCTTGGTGAGGTGTGCCCATTCTCCTGCTGGAGAATTCACCTACAAGACCTCTTGTGCCCTCAGTTGTGAGGAAGGCTTTGAATTACATGGAGCAGCTCATCTTGAGTGCACGTCTCAGGGACAGTGGACACAGGAGGTTCCCTCCTGCCAAGGTAGAACTGAATTCAGACTTTTAGGGTTCAAGTCAAATACATCATAAGTTTCTGAACCTAGATTGCCCCAAGGGGCTTGATCCTTATTTCCTACATGCTGAAAACTAAGTAGTGCTTATAAGTATTTATTGGTGACTCTTAGGCCAGTTTTAGAAGTTTCCCAGTAGATCTTTCTTAACCTCTACCCATGTAACTATTATTTGCAGTGGTACAATGTCCAGTCCTGGCAATTTCGGGAAAGATCAACATGACCTGTGGTGGGGAGCCTGTGTTTGGCACCTTGTGCAAGTTTGCATGTCCTGAAGGATGGACCCTCAATGGCTCTGAAGCTCTGATGTGTGGTGCCACAGGACACTGGTCTGGGATGCTGCCTACCTGCGAAGGTGATGCATTGATTGATGGTGGTTGTCTGGGTGACTAAAAAGAAAAAGAGAAGCTATCTTGCTGTGAGAATTAACTATCCATTTTATCCAAACTAAAAAATTTGCCTAGGTTAATTCTGACAATTGGGAAAATTCTGACAATTGGGAAAAGGAGACCTAGAGAGGAAAGGAGGAAGGGGAAATGGAAAATGAGAGGAAGGGGGAGGGAGAGGGAGAAGGAGAGTGAGAGGGAGAGGGAGAGCGAGAACAAGTGCAGTGTTAACCAAGGTATGGTGTGTAGTTGCAAAGACCTTGACAAGTTAGAGTTCTGCCTGACAGTGATAGGAGACAGCCTCAAGGTGGTTTAGCACAGATCTCAAAGGTCTTTAATATCATGTTTCTGCCTTGCGTATTGAATGAGAGGCTCCTCTGTTCCTAGTAATCAATATACAGAGAAAAGCTTAAGTGAACAGGACCGAAAGACTTTACGGCCAAGACCCTTTCCTGACTGTTTTTCCCTACTTGTTTCCTTAGCTCCCACTGAGTCCAACATTCCCTTGGCAATTGGACTTTCGGCTGCTGCAACTTCCTTCCTGACATTAGGATCATTTCTCTTCTGGCTTCTGAAATACCTTCGCAAGAAAGGTAAGGGAGTTTATAAAGGGACTCCAAAAGTTTTTTTGAAAATATAGCTTTTCTCATTGATGAGTCATGGTCTGTCTTACAAATTTAAACAGTTATTAGAATCTAATTACTAGATAAATACTAATAAACTGCAGTATAATTTGCCAGAAGTCTTAGGAAAAGGATTGCAGTACAACTCAGTGTGAGAAAAGTTTTGAGAAATATCAATATTAGTTGTGCTACCATTGAACAACCCCAGAGGGTGCTATTTTTATTTCAATAGCTTTGGGAGGTACAAATGGTTTTTGGTTACATGGATGCTTTGTATAATGGTTAAGAAGTCTGGGCTTTAAGTGTCCTCACCACCTCTACCTGTGCACATTATACCCGATAAGTGACTTCTCATCCCTCCCTTCTCATCCCTCCCTTTCATCCCACCCTCCTTCTTCTGAGTCTCCAATGTCCATTCTCTATACCTTTGCAGATTCTTAAGTTAGCTTCCACTTATAAGTAAGAATATGTGGTGTTTGGTTTTCTGTGTCTGCATTAGTTCACTTAGAATGATGGTCTCTAATTCTATCCGGCTTGCTGCAAAAGACATTATTTCATTCTTTTTTATGACTGAGTAAATATATAAATAAATAATATATACATAAAACATACATATTATAAACACAACATAAATATCTATAATAAATAATATATACATAATAAATCTCTCTATATAAAGTATATATATATATATATATATATATCACATTTTCAATATTCACTGAACAGTTGATGGACACTTAGGTTGATTCCACATCTTTGCAATTGCGAACTGTGCTGCGATAAACATGTGAGTGCAGGTGCCTTTTTGTGTTAAATTATTTGATGCTCCCAGGAGTTGTGCAATGAGACTACCATAATTAGTGCTTTCCGGAACGTGGATAAAATGCTTCCTAAAAAGATTTCTTTGGAATACAGGCTTAAGCATGGGAGTATCTCATAAGGAATATGCGAGCACATCTGGTCACACTCATGGTTTATTTGACCTAGAGTACTTGAACATTTTTGAATTAAGTTCTGACATTTACAAAATAGGAAATTTTACATAAAAATTCAGATTTCAGGCTTCTCATGAAAAATTGGGAGCTGAACCTGGCAAGGTGACCCTGGAACCATTTGCTGGCATCAGGAAGCTGCTGTGTTGTGGATGGATGTGCATTTTTGCATTTTACCCTAGTTGCCACCTTGCCGTGTTTGCACTCTCATGATTTTGGAGCCCCGAAGCACTGGGTTTGCAACCCTTGATAAATGAAGTCATGTTGTGTATGAATTTGATATGTCCTTAAATTTGCTTAGTTTGAATTGATGATTTTCTTTCTTTTGCAGCAAAGAGATTTGTCCCCGCCAGGTAAGTTGCCTTCTCGACCAGAGCATGCCATTGCACATTCTACACATTTTTCTCTCTTCATGTTGGAAGACAGTGTTTTACTTAGTGTTCTCATGTCTTCCACAGCAGCTGCCAAAGCCTTGAATCAAATGGAAGCTACCAAATGCCTTCCAGCATCCTTTAAGTTCAAAAGAATCAGGTAAGAGTTAAGAATCACGTATGGTTATAAGCGAGGTGTCCTCTCTACACATTCTGTTTCTCCTTGAATGCTCCAAACCTGCCAATTTCTGGGGATGGAAGGAATCCCTACCTTCGTGGTACCTTCTGGAAAGTTGTTTCATTTATTTGTAGAAGATGAAGAAAGAAACAGGCTTATTGAGTTGTTTCATTTATGAAAGATAATGATTATGAAAGATAGCTGACCCTATATACCACTTACTATGTTCTAGAAACTGTTCTAAATTGGGAATGGTGGGAGGCTATTACCATATTTTTCATCATACAGATGAAGGACAAGACACAGAAATTAAGTGTTTTACCTGAAATCTGAAAGCTAGTGAGTGATGTAACCAGGATTCAAATACATGCAGTCTGATTCTGGAATTTGTGTTCTCACCCATTCTGCTCTGCTTTGTGAGAATTTGGAAGGGTCAACTCCTTCTGAGTATATTTTAAAATTAATGTACTTTACTTTTTGTGCAGTACTAGGTTTACAGAAAAATAGAGCTGAAAGTAGAGTGAGTCCAACATATCTACTTACTCTAACTCCCAACTTCCTCTATTATTAACATCTTGCATTAGTGTTACAACTGATGGGCCAATGTTAGTATTATGCACATGTTACATTAGGTCCATTCTTTGTGTTGTATATTCTGTAGGTTTTGACAGATATGTAGGGACTTGTATCCACCATTACAGTGCTATACAGAAGAGTTTAGTGGTCCTGACTAGAATTGGGTGTTCAAACTTGCACTATCCTAGTGAAAGTGTGCGCAGTGGTCTGTGCTAAAAGGTGCACTTTGTTGCTGCTGTCAGTATGCAGAATATTAAGTGTTCTGATGATTACTCTCTTATGTTTGCCAGGAACACAGGTGCATGCAGGGAACTAGAGTGATACACAGAAGACAGCAGAAACGAAGAGCTCTCCTCTGTCTTTGGCCCTTATCACTTATGTACCGCTATATTTATGGCCGGGACTGTGGCATCCGCCACAAATTCAGCGCAGCAAAATTCAGTGGGCAAGGCCAGCCTTCTGCCAAAAAGACTTCATCTTCTCTTTCCTATTTTCAGGACAAGAAAGTGCTAGCTACTGAAGGGAAAGGATATTTTCTTCTAAGCAAAGGTGAAAAGGCTGACTTTCTAGAAGCTCAGAATTCCTTTTCTAATTCTCCTTTGCTTGCAGTGAAATCTTGGCAGATAAACACAATATTTTGTGGCTTTGTCTCTTTCTTTGGCCCTCACAGTACTTCAACTGGGGATTATATGGTTGAATAATAATTATCAAAAGTTTATAGGAAACAAATTGGCCAAAAATAGTCTGTTTCTAACTTGAAAAAATGACAAATTTTGAATGCCCATAAGCAACTGCTATGAGAGTGTTGCTAACGGTGCAAATCCTACTTAATGCCCTGGGCCAGGATTACTAAGCACAGTCTTAGTCACTTTTATCCCTATGGGATTCAGTGTTTTTTAAAGGGTTCTTAAAGAGTGTGGTCTTTTTACTTGACTTGAATAGAGTATACTCCTCCCTAATTCTTAATTCATTACAATTGTTGAAGGACTTTTTAAATGTGTAAATGTTGTGAACTCTGATGGGGCAAGAATTACTTATCCTAGACACCACCTCTTTGTTTATTAACCAATTATGTTACATCTGTGTAAATTTCTTTCAAAAAAAGGGAAAATATTGTCCCCTAGCAAGACATAATGTTAACCAGTATAAAGTTCTAAGCATTTTACTACAGTTGATTTAAAAAACATGGTAATATCAGGAGAGCAAAAATTGAATGGACCGCTTGTGTATTGTCAGATATTTTTTCAGAAATGTTTGGTTTTCATGATGAAAAACTTCTTTGAGGTCAAATATTCTGACTTGACAACAGCATAAGTGCAAACAAAGAAAGGTACAATTTATGAATCTTTGTTTAAAAAATGTAGAAATATGGATGTGCTTTGCAATCCTACAAAGATGTTTGTCAATCATAATATGTAAGCATAATTTTTTATATTATGTAAGATTTCTAAATCCGTGATAGAATCTCACCTCATAAAAGATTAATCTGGTGGAATTTTAAAAAGTAAACATGACTAGTTAGTCCTTAATTGCTTTATTATGCATGTTAGGGTGTTCTGGAAGAGGAGAAAGCCTGTGTGAGCAAGTATTTATGTTTACTTATAAGCAGATTATGAATTTCTAAGGAATCTCCTGCTATTGGTTGATCACTGGCGTTAAGAAATTCTCGGTCAGGAATTACCAAAGCTGCTCAACCCTCACGGAATGTGAGAATCAAAACTCTAACACATCAAATAACTTAGCATGTGCCAAAAAGTGACAGAGGAGTGCTGACTGAATACTGGCAAAGTCAACAGTAAACAGGGAGTTGTGACAAGGTTTTATAAGAGGAAGAAGAACTCTGGGAAATGAGAGGAAGAGATGACAACTCTTATGATTAAGCTACATCTGAAACAAATTATTATTTTCTCTGAAATTGTTCAAGTGTTGTAGATATTTACATTTGCTGCACTAGAAATAACTGTGTAAAATAAAAATGTGGTCTGTTTTGGAGTTTTATTAAGTATTTTAAATTATGGTAACATATTTTACACTCTTTAAAGTATGTATTTATTTAAGCCTATTGTATTGACATGGCACTATAAAGTTTGACAGTAAACATGTTTATATTTATCTCTGTGTTTAGACTCATTCTTTAAAATTGTATTTTATTTAGATAAAACTCACATACCATAAAATCTATCCTTTAGAAAGATATGAGATTGTGCAACTATCCAGAAAATTAGCAGTTACTCCTCAATCTTCCCTCTATTAACACTGGCAACTACTAATTCACTTTTTGTCTTTATGAATTTTCCTATTCTGGACATTTCATATAAATGGAGTCATATAATGTGTGACCTTTTGTGTCTAGCATCTTTCACTTAGCATAATGTTTTCAAGGTTCATCCATGTTGTATCATGTATCTGTACCTCGTTTCTTTTTATCACTATGATTCCACTATACCATTATACCACATTTTGGTTTTCCATTCATTAATTAATGGATTTTTGGGTTGTTTCTACTTTTGGCCATTGTGAACAATGCTGTTATGAACATTTATTTTCAAGTTTTTGTGTAGACTTATGGTTCTAATTTTTCTTGGGCTTTACCTAGAAGTGGAATTGTTGGTAACAATTCTTTTTTAAAGAAACCACCAAACTGTTTCCCAAAGGGGTGCATCAGAAAGTGGAGAAAATTACACGATGCACAGGGGCTCCGACTTCTCCACATTCTGGCCAATACTAGTTATTGTCTGTCTTTTTTATGATCACCATCCTAGTGGGTGTGAAGTGGTATACATATTGCATCAATACTGTATAATTGTTTAGAAAATATTAATAATCTAAAAAGACCACCAAGCCAAAAAAACAAAGTTCTATCTCAATTCTAATTTCCTCAAAGTTAACCAGTTCTCCTTTATATATACACTCCAGACTCAGTTATTCTTTTTTTTTTTTTTTTTTGAGTTGGCGTCTCACTCTGTCACCCAGACTGGAGTGCAGTGGCCGCTCCCAGTCACCACAGCCTCGACCTGCTGGGTTCTGGTGATCCTTCCACCTCAGTCTTCCATGTAGCTGGAACTACAGGAACACGCTACCATACCCAGCCAATTTTTTGATTTATTGTAGAGATGAGGTCTCACCAAGTTGCCCATGCAGGTCTCAAACCCGTGGGCTCAGGCAATCCACTCACCTCAGCCTCCCAAGGCATGGGATTACAGGCTGAGCCACAGAGCCCGGCTCAGTTATTCTTTAGGATTAAATCCAGAGTAGGTTTTTCCACCAAAAATAAGTATCTTCTTTCTTCTGGAGTAGTGTCAATCCACAGGTCTGGTGTGTATCATGCTAAAACCACCAGAAGAATAACTATTATCAAAGAATCAATATATTCTGATATTTCTAAGAAAACAGGGTTTAATTTTTAACTTGGTCACCCAGGCTAAAAGAAACTTTCAACTATAATATTCTCATAGGTGAGAGGTGATTTTTTAACTTGGATTTTATAGTTTATCGTTGCTCAAAAGTATTAAAGAGAAAATGAAAAGAAAAAAACCCAAAGATATATTCTGTTACTTAGGGCTGTTTTCATGTAGGAATGAAATGATCAAAATGGCAGAGTGTGAATACTGGTTTTCCCAGGTACAAAAAGAGAGAATAAATTGAACAAATTATATTTATCCAAGGAAACACATGTACCCAAGTCAGACGGACATGGACAAGTGGGAAGCACAGATGTGAGAAGGGGAATGATTCTTGGTGCTAGCACCAGGAAATTAGATTAGAGTTTTTATTAGGGGGGAATAACCACAAAAATCTTATAAAGACAAGAGCTTCAGGTCTTCTTTCCGTTAAAACTAACAAGTATAACTTCCACCCCGTAATTTTAGCTTCCCTTTCTCAAAAGTCTAAGCCAAGAGAAATAAACATTTTTTCTCCTCTAGTGCATATGTCATTATAGCGGTTGGTAAAATCATTGAGCCATAAAGGAACAAATAGCAATGAGATAAATGTCCAACTTTTGTCAAAAATAAAAATAAAACCACAACAGTACTTTGGAAATAGTCAAGGAGATTTTTCCCTCTCCATGATCTCCCATGGGTGCCAAATCCTATCAATATTTCTTTTAATGACTATTTTGACATTAAAAAAAGAATGAGGCTGGGCACGGTGGCTTACACCTATAATTCCAGCACTTTGGGAGGCCAAAGTGAGAAGATTGCCTGAGCTCAAGGGTTTGAGTCCAGTCTGGGCAACTTGGCAAGACCTCATCTACACAATAAATCAAAAAATTAGCCAGGTATGGTGGTGCACACCTGTGGTTCCAGTTACTTGGAAGGTTGAAGTGGAAGAATTGCCTGAGCCCAACAGGTTGAGGCTACAGTGGCCATGAGTGTGCCACTGCACTCCAGACTGGGAGACAGAATGAGACTCCAACTCAAAAAAAAAAAAAAAAAGAGAAAAAAGAAAAGAAAAAAAGAATGAAATAATGTCTTTTGCAGCAACTTGGATGGAATTGGAGACTATTATTCTTAGTGAAGTATGCAGGAACAGGAAACCAAATACTGCATGTTCACACTGATAAGTAGAAGCTAAACTAAGAATCTCCAAAGGCATGGAGAATGGTACAGTGGAAATTAAAGACTTAGAAGGAGTATGAAAGAGGGGGAGGGACAAAAACTAACCTATTGGGTGCAATGTGCACAGGTGAGGGTGGTGGGTACACTTAAAGCCCAGACTTTTTCTCTACTATACAATGTATCCAGCTAACCAAAAATCATTTGTACCACCTAAAGCTAGAAATATAAATAAATAAATAGACAGATAAATAAATAAATAAACATTCACATACAAAAAGAAAACCATTAACTGTGTGGGCCCTTATTGCCATTCCTGGATTAGATGTCAAAATACTCATAAATTCATGAGTATCCATGTATTCAGTCTGTTGTTGGGGTGCACTGTGGTTCCAAGTCATTGACACAGCCCACAATCCATATAGAATTTAGTCCTTGTTCACCTTCTAATCTCATTTTATGCCAGACTCTGAGATATTGCATTCCTTGCACACTGGAGAGCTGTTTCTTCCCACTTTGGGAATGCTCGCTTCTTTCACCTGAAATTTTCCCCACCTCCACTCTTTGTCAGGTTAATTACTGTTCCTCTTTCAGGTCTCTGAATAAATGTCCTGTGATGGCTAATTTTAGGGGTCAACTTGACCGGTTAAGGAATATGCCGATAGCTGCTAAAACATTATCTCTGAGTATGTCCGTGAGGGTGTTTCTGGAGAAGAAAAGCCCATTTGAATTGGTAGATGGAGTAAAAAGATTGCCTTTACCAATGTGAGTGGGCATCATTCTAACC